CTTCCTCCCACTAGGCTCCACCTCCCAAAGGTTCCCTGACCCCACTAGTGCCACAGACTGGGGCTAAGCCTGCACCACACCGGGGGACATTCCAGACCACAGCAAAGTGGTGGCGGGGCCCCACGCCAGCCTCCTGCTTTCCCCTGTGTTGGTGCAGAGACCCCCAGAGAAGTCTCTTGTTCCTGGGAGAGCGTCTGGGCTTGCGCAGAGGACTGGGCTGACCCTACGATAACGGAAAAGGGTTGCTGAGGCAAGCACCATGGAAGGGCTTCACGTCAGTGCCTGCCTGCTCTCAGGGATCAGGACTACCCAGGTGAACTCAATGAAAAACCCCTCTCTTCCTGAAGCTGACCGTGCTGTGCAATAGAGACTGAAATGCTGTGCGTCTGTGCTGCCCACCGTGGTAATCACTCAGCACACGTGGCTATGGAAAGCTGAAATACAGCCAGTGAAATCCTAGTTCTCATTTTATTTCACTTTAATTTATTTAAATTTCACATGTCATGTGTGTACTATACTGGGCAGCACACGACTAGAATGTTTACCAGCAATGCTGAGGTGAGATCATAAAGGACGGGATCTAAGTCTATTTACTGAGGTTTGCTGTGTGTCTAGCACTGCCTAAAACATTAGTAGGTGCTCCACAAACGTCCACTGGATGAATGGATGGGTGAAAGGTCTGCGCTATCATGTGAGTGCTGAAGTACGGAAGGTTTACAGCTTTTAGCTTCTGTGGAGCATCATGGGAGGGAGTTGTATCTAAATCACAAACACTCCAGACTCAGCCAGTAACAGCCCTCACTGACACTGTGTAGCAGATACTGTATTTTCTATACAACTTCAAGCAGGCAGAGGTCAGTGGAAGGGTTTAAATTCTGAACTAGAGATTCAAATACTCTGAAATATGAAAAGTAGGGTAATTCTTAGGAGTAGAGATGAGTGGTAGAATATGGACTTAGCATACATGAGGCCCCTGAGTTGATTCTGCAGCACCACCATTCAATAAATACAAAAAATGTAAGAACACCTCCTTATATAGTGTGATAGATACTATTTTGGGCAAAACTTCACCCTCACAGGAAGATGCTAGTAATGATTCTAAGAATACCACATCCACTGATGGAACTGAGCTCAAGAGCTCTTTCTGAAGATGCCAAGTTGAACATTTAATGTTTCTCTTGGAGTGAAACAGAATGGGTATCCTTACAAAAAACACATCTGGCATATCTAAGTTTCAGCACCTTAAAACATTACATCTAATAGTCTGCAAAGTCAGCATTTACTTACCCCAATATAGCCAAAAAGCCCCAAAAAACAAAAAATGGAAAAGCATTATTAAAGAGACAGATCAAAGGAAACAATGATTCTGTTCCAAATGCAATGCTATTTTAACAAAATACCGATAATGTGGTACAAAGAGCATTACCATTCTTTGCAATATTAAATTCTAAATATTTTTGTTTTGTGAATCTGATACCATTAGGGAGAAAATAGTCCAGTGTTTACTGTTACATTTAGCCTGCCTATTGACAGATGTCATCTAAATAACAACACAACCAATCATTATGCAGAGCTGCTGAAATGTAAATACAATAAAATATCTTGTGAGCATTTTCTGCCCTCTCAGTACTAGGGGGACATCTGACCTTGAGCTGAGAGTCTCTCCTGAAAACATTGTCCACATGTCAAAAGTTCTCCCCACCTACACATGTACTCTGCCATCTACCCTTCACCAAACCATCTGAATTACATGGAGATTTTTGTGGTATCATAACAACTTCAATATGGGATATATTTTCGACATTCTGGTAAGAGACACCTTTCTTTCCTGCCTTACCTTCCTTCCAAATTATTTCAGGTTTGCTATTCCATTTCCACATCTCAGTGGGGTACTCATCACTGAACATTTATTAGTGAGGGCTAAAGGCATGGTGGGGTGGGAGACTGTGAGCTAGCATGTCAAAGCCACATGCTATGTGTGTAGTCTTAAAGAATCAAGAAGGGTTCTTTTTTTTTTCTCAAGACATAGAAGGTGTCTCAACAGTGTAAGTCCAAAGTGAATACCA